TTGGTGGATGAAGGCATGAGGTCAACAGATCTAGGATGACACTGTCACACCCCAGGAAGGGTCCCCACCCAGGAGGCTAGGAGGTCGTGTCTGAGCTCATTCATGAGAAGCAGGGGGCTCAGGGGTAAAGAATATACCTGCCAATGCAGGAGACGTGAGCTTGATCCCTGCCTTGGGAAGAGCCCCTGGAGGAGGACATGACAACCCACTCCAGTATTCTTGCCTGGGAAATCCCATGGACAGAGAAGCTCGGTGGGCTACAGTCCACGGGGTCGCGGAGTCAGACACGACTGAGCAACTTAACAGGGATGGACCGGTGTCCTCCTCTGGGCTGGGTCTGGAGACGGAGGAGCGGATGGAGGTGGAGAGGCAGAGGACAGACGCCCTGACACAGCTGACAGCTGCAGGGAGCCCTGGGCGAGCCCGAGACAGCGTGGACACGCATGCAGCGGCCAGGTCAGGGCGCTGGGGCCGCCACAGGGGGCGCCGCCAGCGCATTCTAACTGAGCGGGAACGAGGACCCAGAAACTCTCGCCACCCTCGGATGTTAACCGAAAAACAGAGACAGAAGTCCTGAAAAGCAAGGGCATCGAAGCAGGGACGCGGGCAATAAGCGAGCCCACACAGCTTCCGGACGCTCCCCTTCCTAAAGGAAAACACACACACGCAAGTTGCGGCCTCCAGATAATTAAGCAAGACGGGAAATTATGCAAATGAAATATATTCAAGTATGCGATGAATTTTAAATGACAGAACTACAGAAAATTTAATTGCTGTATTAGCATGCTATAAAAACACTAATCATAAATGTAAAACAATGCATGCATATACTTATATCAGAACTGTCCTGGTGACACAAACATCAAGTCACTCCCTCCCCCTGGGTTCACGTGCAAACTCACCTCGATAAACACAAAGAAGGAAACATGGTACAAGAGCTTCACTCATCATTTCCAACCATTCTACTGACTGCCACGAATGGCAAGTGCTTACTTTTTGTTGGGTATTTCTGAAATGTTGTTTTAAAAGAGCCAAAAATGTAATTTTCTAGAGCATTAATTTTTAAATTTTTGTTTCACGTTGGAGTATAGTTGATTAACAGCGTCGCGTTAGTTTCAGGTTTTACAGTGAAGTGCTTCAGTGACACATATGCGTGTATCCCCGGTTCTTATTTCAAGCTCTTTTCCCACTCAGGTTAGTACAGAATATTGAGCGGGGTTCCCTGCGCCATGCAGCAGGTCCCTGTTGACTATCTATTTGAAGGAAAACAGTGTCTACAGCATTGACTTTTAAAAGTTTCTGCACCACGTGCATGGAATTCCGGCGTTAGATGGCATCAGTGGTGGTTTGCCGGTGAGCTCTGGGGCTAACCTGTGCCCCAGACCGGCTTCCATCTTTCTTCATTAACACGGCATCTCCTACTCATCCGTTAAGCAAGCCACCGGGATTGTGTTGTGTTAACGACGGATCCTGAACACATCACACAAGTTGGTGGTCTTCCTAAACAGGATTGAGCATAAGCTCGACTGAGCATAAACTGTTACCGACACCCGCCCCTCAGCTGCGGGTGAGTCAGGCCCAGCCATGCCCTCCCAGCGCCTCTGCCCAGGGGTGCTGCCCTCGATGCCCCGTCTCCCAGCTGGCTCAGGGAGACCAGAGTGTCCCACGGGGGACCTGTCCCATGGGGGACCAGAGTGTCCTAGAGCAGCGGTCCCCACCCTGGGCCTGCGTGAACACCCCGGGGGAATGCAGATGGCAGCAATTCCCAAGCCCCTGGGGGAACACGAGTGTGGACCCAGAATGGAAAGCCGCAGGTCGAGAGGGGGCCGGAGCCCACCCGCCCCTGCCACGCCTGCCCCCTCCCCCCAGCCTGGGGCAGGTGCTCGGTGGAAACTGTGTCCCGCCCATCCCAGCTCCTACGCCTTCCAAGGGGCACGGACCACTGCTTCCGCAGGAATCTCACACTGCATGGGACGGCACACGGCAAACACTTGATAAACGCTTGCAGAACAAGTGAAAAAGCAGGGGAAGAGACGCAGGGGGAGCAGTGCGCGGGGAGGACAGGGGCTCTGTCTGCAGGGGCCCAGCTCCGCCCTGGCCTCAAGGGGCGCAGAGGGCAGGGGCTCCCTCCTCGGAGGGCCCCAGGAGCCACGTGGACGTGGTCGTTTCCCACCCCTGCTTTCCTGGCGGCAGACGCCGGGCAGAGCCCGGGCAGAGCTGGGGCAGAGCTCGGGCAGGCTGAGCGAACAGGGGGAGGAGGGCGGAGCCGCGCAGCAGCCCCTCCCCCACCCCCGGGGCGCCGGGCCTCACCCTGCAGCCCCCCACCCCCGGGGCGCCGGGCCTCACCCTGCAGCCCCCCACCCCCGGGGCGCTGGGCCTCACCCTGCAGCCCCCCACGCCGCCCTCGCACCTCACGGCAGACCTGCAGGAAGCAGCCCAGCCCCAGGCACCTGGGCTCCCCACGCCACCCTCCCACCTCCCATCCCCTGCCCCGCCAAGGGGTCAGCTGACCCGCCGGTTCCTAGGGAGCCTCGGTGTTGACTCTCTGCCTCCCCCGGGCCACATGCCCGCCCCTGTCGCTCACTCGGGGAACCCCGACACGCCCTTAGAGATGGCCAGAGGAACCCCACCTTCTCCAGGAAGCCCTGCAATGCCATCCCTGCTGGTGGCCCACCTTTGGAGGGACGGGCTCTGCTCACTGTCCCCAACGCCTTTTTTTTTTTAACTCATCCATCAACGCAAGTCGAAGACAGTGAGAACTGTCCTAGCCACCTCTGCCCTCTTCCTCCACCCAGCCCACCTCTGCTTTCAGACCCCAAGGGTGAAGACCCCAGACACATGCCCAAGACAGTGTCGTCCCCCTCTCGCCCACTGGGGCCGCAGGTGAGGCCCATGCACCCCACGGTCTGTGGTCCCCAGATCAAATCCCGCTGCACCCCTGACCAGCCCCAAGGCCCCCACTATGGTGCACTGAAGTCCGGCTCCCCTCCGCCTCTGGACAGTTCAGTTCAGTTCAGTCGCTCAGTCGTGTCTGACTCTTTGCAACCCCATACATTGCAGCACGCCAGGCCTTCCTGTCCATCACCAACTCCCGAAGTTTACTCAAACTCATGCCCATCGAGTCAGTGATGCCATCCAGCGATCTCATCCTCTGCCATCCCCTTCTCCTCCTGCCCCCAATCCCTCCCAGCATCAGGGTCTTTTCCAATGAGTCAACTCTTCGCATGAGGTGGCCAAAGTATTGGAGTTTCAGCTTCAACATCAGTCCTTCCAATGAACACCCGGGACTCATCTCCTTTAGGATGGACTGGTTGGATCTCCTTGCAGTCCAAGGGACTCTCAAGAGTCTTCTCCAACACCACAGTTCAAAAGCATCAATTTTTCGGTCCCCAGCTTTCCTCACAGTCCTACTCTCACATCCATACATGACCACTGGAAAAACCATAGCCTTGACTAGACGGACCTTTGTCGGCAAAGTAATGTCTCTGCTTTTTAATGTGCTATCTAGGTTGGTCATAACTTTCCTTCCAAGGAGGAAGCGTCTTTTAATTTCATGGCTGCAATCACCATCTGCAGTGATTTTGGAGCCCAAAAATATAAAGTCTGACACTGTTTCCACTGTCTCCCCATCTATTTCCCATGAACTAATGGGCAAGGGCCCCTGTAATCAGCAGTGGTGGCGTGAATAAACTTCCGAGAAGCCCAGACTCCGTCACCTGCACCCCAGCGCCGCTGGTCACAGACCCTCCCCGCCACCCCGCCCGCCTCAGCCCCGCAGAGCGGATCTCACGTTGCCCTCTGACCCCTGCCCCCTGACCCCAGGTGGCTCTTCCTCCCAGGCAGTCACTGGGCAGCAGGGGAGGGTGTCTAACCACGACCCGCAGAGGTGGGGAGCCAAAGGGAAGAGGACGGGACAACGTAATTCACAGAGGGCTTCCCACCAGGAGGAGCACACCCTTCACAAACGCAAAACCTCCACAGAGACCCCGGAAAGGTGTTTTCATGCGAACCTCCTAAAATGCGGCCTGGAAAGCCTGTAGCCTCTCTTAGAGGACGTTGGGAAAACCGGATACAAATGCTTAAAATAAAAAAAACACCAAACAAAAACATTAGCAATTGCAGCAGGTCTGATTTTAATTGCAAGAGAATATTTGATCAATAAATATTCACTGTTCAGAGCTGCATCTGCATGTAAGATTACGAGGTACTAAGCTGCAAATTTATTAAAACTCATTAGCAAGAAAGAGTCTTTTAATACTGAAAGTCAGACCCAATTTAGGGTAAACTCTTAGGGGTCCCTATTGACTTAGCTCCCAAAATAATAAGGAAAAAAAAAAGGAAACGGGATGAAAGCTGTCTAGAAACGACTCCGGGATGATCGGCAGGGCCAAGCTCACTTCTGACACTGACTCACAGCAAGAACCAGCTCCCACCTTCTCCTGAAGCCCCCAGAACGCACTGCTCCCCACTGGGTGTGAGGGAGCCACGGCCCAGCCTCTGTCACACAAACGCACACAGGTCCAACACCATCACCACTGATGCTTTTTAAAAGATCCTCAAACACATGTCCCTGTTTGAGTCCTGAGAGCTGAAAGAATCTTCTATGCTGGAACCCATTTTATAACACAGGTTTGGAAATACCACAAAGATTTTAAAAATAATAAGATCGGAGGACACAGCCGTCCTAAGTTATGACTTACCCTTGTTTTCTGCCAGCCTTGGCAAAGCAAGCCTGAAACTGAGCAAAGGGTGGGCGATGCCGTCGCAGCCCCGGCCGGAGCCGGATCCGCGAGGTGGAGCCGGGATGCACACGGGGCCAGGAGCCCAGCCGGCGGGAGAGCCTGTCCTCGCAGGAGGACAATGCGCGCCGGGGCAGGGGGTGCAGGGCGGGGGCACAGAGGGGGGCAGCTTACTGAGAGCAGCTTCCACGTGACGGCACGGAGGACAATGCGCGCCGGGGCAGGGGGTGCAGGGCGGGGGCACAGAGGGGGGCAGCTTACTGAGAGCAGCTTCCACGTGACGGCACGGACGGGCTTGGGGATCCCGGACCAGCTTAGCTTCCTGAGCTCCTCTGTCAATACAAGAGACGGGAAGAAGGGGTTACAGACGGCAGGCAAAGCTTCCCCTCAGGCGACATCCTCCCCCAGCTCCTAGTGGGGGAGGGAGCCCCATAAATGAGACCAGAACGAACCTCAATGAGAACAACTTCAGACACTGATTGTTTTTAACACACCGGAGAAGTTACCACTCTATCCAAACCAAGCTAAATGTGACCTGTTTGCGTTTACATCTTAGCACATATTTGCTCAACACGGCCCGAGGGTCCCAGTAACCACAGGGACAGGCGGGGTGCAGAGGACACGTTTCCTTCCACCCTTCCTTCCTTCCCACCCACCCACTTCCCTCTCTCCACCCCCGCCCCCCCCAACCTCACACCTTTCCTTCATCCCCTGTCACTCTCACCACTTTTTAACAAGACCTACATGAGGTGCGCTTCTCAGAACAGATTTTTTTAAAATAGATTTATCTTTTTTAACTGAAGGATAGTTGCTTCACGATATTGTGCTGGCCTCTGCCACACATTAACATGAGTCAGCCAGAGGTATGCGTGTGCGCCCCCATCTTGAACCTCCCTCCCGCCTCCCACCCCACCTGACCCCTCAAGGTGGTTACAGAGCTCACTGTGAGTCCAGAGTCAGGCAGCAAACCCCCACGGGTTGCCTATTTTAATGCGGTAATGTACACGCCTCCAGCTCCGCCTTCTATTCATCCCACCCACTCCTTCCTCCCTGGCCCAGGTCCATAAAAGTCTGTTCTCCAAGTCAGGAGGGCTTTTGAAAGACATCAGTTCGTGGAGATAAGCTTGTGTCTACACAGCACTGACTAAGGATGTGGCCACATCACACCCTGGGGACAATCAAGTTTCAACAGTACAAGTCACAGCTGCCCTGACAGACACCTAAGGTTGGGGAACGGTCACAGAGTGGGGGGCTGGCAGGGACAGAGGGGCCTGGACAAGAGCAGGTCAGGGCACAGCCTGGGAAGGCGGGTAAGTCAGGGCCCCGAGTTCTTTCTGCTCTTCGGGGTCTCCTCGAGGGCTTCCATCACAGGCCCCGAATGGCCAGAGAACACATTTCAATCTGTAAGTACCGAACAGTCAGTCCTATAGAAATGGAAGTAATTATTTCCTCCCTTTAAGTTAAGCTCTTCCCTTAACAGCTCAGAGCTAATGATTAATACTAGGAATAAAGGAAATGATTAAAGAGAAGAACTCTGGTAATAGAATCAACAAAATACAAAGTCCTGACATCTAATCTTTTTCCAATTACTAAAGTCTAAGTAAAATAAGTACAGAATAATTGGGCGACAGCACCAGCAATAACTTGCATTTTACGGCAATCTCAGAAAATATCAAATCTTCCCCAGTTCCCTGAGGATATTATGAAAAGCAGGAACCTAATATCCGAACACCAATAATGCGATGTTTACTAACCACGTTCCTGGGGCCTCGGTGCCTGCACGAGCCCAGCTTTCTGAGGATCGTTTATGAAGAAAGCCTAGAGAAATCTCCACCACTGATGTCCTCAGAACCTCTCTCCTCATGAAGGACCCTCACAAGGTGGTACCTTCAGTCAATACAGTGAGACACAGTTCTGACTCTGATGCTGAAAGGGAGCTTTCAGGTGTGAGGTCCTCCAGACAGCGTGAGTTAGCTGGGGCTACGGTCCTACTGGGTGACAGAGGAACAGGCTCAGAGAGGTAAGGGGCTCGGCCATGGAGGCAGGCGAACCAAGGGGCCTGCATGTCCCCGAGTACTCCCTATTACTAAGGAGGCTTCTGTTCAGGCAGACAGATCTCACAGACAGAAGGATCCAAAATCAAAACTCAGCAGACGGAAACACCACTGAAGGTCCAAGATCAGTATGACTGCAGGAATGAAAAGGCCGCTCCACACCAGGAGATTTTTCAACCTGATCCAGGTGTCGGGATGTGGATGGGAGAAGTCCCAGGGCCACTCTGACAGGGGTCAGGTGTGGCCTTTCAACCCAGGCCCATCCGCCCCTTCCACCTTTCCAGCAGAATCCTGACTGTGCAAAGTGACCACACACACACACACACACACACACACACACCAGCAGGTCAGAGGGAGGAACCCACACGCCTACACACACACACATACACACACACACACCCCAGCAGGTTACAGGCAGGAACCTACACACCTACACACACACACACACACACACACACACACACACACACACACACACACACACACCCCAGGAGGTCAGGGGCAGGAACCCACCAGCCTGCTCTGCACTCAGGCTGGGCTGGTTGGCATGGGGGTGAAGCCACACCCTCACCAGCGCCCAATCTGGCCATGGGCCTGGGACCCCATTTGAACGCTGGGAAGAGAGCACAGAGGCACCAGCGCGCCTGAGGACACCTCTCCTGGCTCCCAGCGGATCTACTGGATCTCTGATCTCTGGATCTCTGCTTCCTCTGAATGCAGGAGGTGCCAAATGTCAGGCTGGGGGTCAGCAGCCCCCCGGCCCCCCACCAGCCTGAGGATGAAGCCAGCAGACAGGCAAGCAGCACCCCAAGACACGTGGGACCCCAGCTTCTGAGTTCAGCAAGACAGGCAGATACGAGAGTCAAAAAATCAATAGCTTGTCTCTACTGACAAAAAAAAGAAGTGGAAAAGGTTACAGGCATTAAGCTTAACAAGAAATGAACAAGAAATACCATGTGAAGAAAACTGTAAGATTTTACTTGAAGACGTAAAGAAACAGGAAAACATGGAGGTCACTGACGGATGCTAACAAGTATTTAAGGAGCACTTCCCTGGGCCAGCAGGGCAGGGGACTTAACTACACGAGTGACCGTCACGCAGACCCCACAGGCGGGGAACTCACCTCCCGCTCCAAGGGCAGGCACAGGTAAACTCTCAACCAGAGTAAGTGCTCACAGCAAAAGGCGAAGAACACAGTGAAGTCCTGAGGGGAAGGTGCACCCCGATAGCAGGTCTCTTGGAGGGCGTGAGAGCTGAAACGCGACCCAGAGACGCAGAGACCCACTGAGAGAAGAGGGGCCTCAAGGGGAGCGTTCTGGGCCCAGGGAGCAGCTGACACACACGGTCTTGACCACAGGGTGGGAAACGGATCAGAGAGGCCAGTGGCCACAAGACCACCACGCAAGGGCCTACTTTCGAAGCCCAAGGCGGAGGTGGTGGTGGCCGGGATGGTGGCAGTGAGAGCAGGGCAGTGACCAGAAAGGGAATTCGGAGATAGAAGCAGGAGGAGAGAAACGAGGGCTAGATCACACCAGTAACACGTCTACCCTTCTCTGCCTCCTTAGGTCACGGAGCATCTGCAGTGTCAACCTCCCAGGTGGGAATCTCCCTGAGGAGGAAAGACTCACAGTACCGATGAGTGTGGAGTTGTGATACTGGTGTTCACATAAGGATATCTTCAAATTTTACTTTTTAGAAAGCAAATGCACGATTGTAGAAGATTTGCTATTTATTTCTCATTCATTTTCTGCTTATTAACCTATTTCTTACATTTTAGTTTTCTCTCTTAGACTAGTGATTCTGCAGTCTGATTACAAAAAATACGAGGACAGAGAGCCGAAAGAAAAGCCAAACACGGGCTGTCACCATAAAGACTCAGGCAGCTGAAACAAAAGGTGGAAAAAGATCTGCCAGGGACGTGCTACTCATAGAAAAGCTAATTTGCTTTATTAATAATATCAGGAAAAAATAAACATCAGCACAAAGAGGGATGTTTCATAATGATAAGAGGTTCAACTCATTAGGCGCAGACATCTTTCCTAAATGTGTGCACCTAATAATATGGCTTCATAACGCATGGAGCAAACACTGACAGGAACAGACCAACTTTGATCGTGGGCAGAGACCTGAGTGCCCCTCCCTGAGTAACTGACAGAACAGGTGCATTTAAATATGAGTAAAGGGAGATAAGAACTGGATCCAACTGGTCTACAGGACACCGCGTCCACCACCTGAAGAATACACATTCTTTTCAAGGACACACGGCATATTCACCAAGTGGGCCACGTGTGCTGCCCAAGCAAGTGGTGATAAGTATCAAAAGGTCAAAACAGCATCACGTTTATCTGACCAGATGCTTTAAATGAGAAATCAGCCTGCTGTGATACCCAGGAAATCCTGAAGTATTTGGAACTTTACTAACATACTTCTAAATATCTCATAAATCAGACAAATCACAAGAAAAAAGTTGGAAAATATTTCAAACTGAATGATAATAACAGATATCAATATGTGTATGATATAACTAAAACAATGCCTGGAGGGAAATATACACCCTTAAAAGCCTAAATCAGAAAAGAATAAAGGTTCAAATCAATGAGGTTCTACCTTAAGAAGCTAGGAAAAGATGAGGGATTTTAAACAAAGCTAAAATAAAAGAAGGGAAATAAAATAAGCATGGAAATAAGTAAACTGGTTTAAAAAACAAGTCAATAAAAACTTTTAGTTAGACTTGACCACTGGGAAAAAAGAGAAGACACAAATTTCCAGTGTCAGACTTGAGAAAGGAACATCACTACAGGCCCTACAGACATGAAGAGATAATAAATGGATCCTGTCGACAACTTTATGCCAATAAATTCGAGAACTTACATGAAATGGACATATTCCTTGAGAAATGTGGCCTAACAAAACTGATGCAAGAGGCAGTTAGAAACTCATATCTGCGTATCAATTTAAAAAATAAGGGTGAAAAAAAAAATAAGGGTGGGCAGTATAAAAGGGTACTACCACTTTGAAAAATCATATGGCAACCCACTCCAGTGCTCTTGCCTGGAGAATCCCATGGACGGGGGAGCCTGGTGGGCTGCAGTCCATGGGGTCGCTGAGCGTCGGACACGACTGAGCGACTTCACTTTCACTTTTCACTTTCATGCATTGGAGAAGGAAATGGCAGCCCACTCCAGTGTTCTTGCCTGGAGAATCCCATGGACGGGGGAGCCTGGTGGGCTGCAGTCCATGGGGTCGCTGAGCGTTGGACACGACTGAGCGACTTCA